CTCACTGGCTCTTTCAAAGACAAGTTTATGGCCTTGTTGCCCCCATGTACCATTTTCAGTTCTTTAGGCAGCACCTTTGAGTGGAAATATGCAAACAGGAGGTATAGACTACTAAAGAGATGACTGATCTATCTCATCATCCTCTCAAGTTAAAACCAAGCAGATTCTATTGCAGACCAAAGAAATCCTATTGCCAGAAATAAAAACAAAAACAGACAGTGCAGTGAAGAGACATTTGGATCTGAGATTTTTGTGAGTCAGACCAAAACTTAGATGATAGTAGCAGCAACAGTGGAGGACCAGAGGCTAATGTGAGATAGAGCTAAGACAAATGGCAACACTCTTGAGTCAGTTTACAGGAAGACTTTGGTAGGGAAGACAACCTTAATGGGGAGGACTAAAGAGAGCTTTGTAACATTGGTCTAAAGCTTTGAGGCCTACAAGCACATCTGATAAATTGTTCTGAGTGAGGAATTGTATCTGGAAATTTTTTTTTAGAAAACACAATTCTAAAAGAATAATATCTCAGAAAATGTTTTCGTAGGACAAAATATTAATTTAAATATTTGCATATCTGAGAATATATATGAGTATTCAAAGAGTATTTCGTTCTAGAATTTTCAGATTATGGTAAAGAAAACAGTGAAAAATAATCCAAGAAAGAGTTTAAAACAAAATGAACTTTGAATTTTGTCTTGAAAGCAAATAAAAGCTTTGCATATGTTTTTTTCGAGAAGGACATTTCCGTAAAAGCAAAACAAACAAACGAAAAAAACCCTCAAACTCATTGCCAACATGTTGATTCTGGCTCATAGTGTCTCTGTCGGACAGAGAAGAGCCAAGACTACAATTTACATTGGCAGGTTGATTGCCTCATCTTTTTTTTTTTTTTTTCATGGAGTAGTTAGTAGTTCTGAATTGTCAACCTTTTGATTAGCAGCTAGCTGCCATAACTACAGCCCTACTGGATTCCTCAGTTAGAACAAAGCACCAGGAATGGTACAGAGATTTAGAAGAATAAGGCACATTTAGGAACTAAGGGAAACCAAACTCCTCAAGACTCAAACTCATTGCCACTGAAACAGAATGGACTCATAGCTGACCCTCCAGTGGATTTTCAGAGGCTGTAAATTGCTCAAGATATTGTCCTTCTTTCTCTCTTCAAACCACTGGTGGACTAGAACCTTCAGAGAGATGCTGCCTTTGGATTAGTAGGGCATTCCTTAAGGACCATGCAAGTCATTTCTACATGATTCCTTCACATGCTGAAAGTGGGTAATGGCAGAGTATCTGAAAAAATGCAATTCAGGATTTTCATAAAATAGCAGTTTCAAACTTTCCTGTTCACAATGTTTGAGGGTTTAGTACATTTAAAAAAATATTCTTTTGCCAAAGCAACTCTTTAACAGCTCATTATTAGTTGTTGCTGTTGGTGCAAGCCACATAGTTAACTGATTCATGGTGACCCCATGAACAAGGGATTTCACACTTTCCTTAGCTTGCTTCATGCTCATGATCTCTGCCATGCTCAAGTTCATTGTTGAAGACATCATGTCATTAATTTCATTGAGAGTCTTCCTCTCTTTCACTACCCTTCTGCCTTCCCCAGCATTACTTTTTTATTTTTTCTCAAGGATCAGTCCCTGCTGACAACAAGCCTGAAGAAACAAAGTAAACGTGAAACAATGATTCATCATCCTTGCCACTAAGGAACACTGGGGTTGCAATTCCTCCAAAATAGTTTGTTGTTCTTTTATCAATCCATGGTATACTCTTTGCCACTAAGAGGAAAAGAAAACAACAACAACAACAACAACAAAAATCCAAAACAGAAAACTCCCAAAACCCTCAATGCATTTCTTTTACCCTAAAAAGCTAGTTTACTGCTTTTCAGTCAGCTTGTAATATTGTGGAGGTTTATGTGTTGTTGGATGCTGGGACTGTCCTATCAGTATTTTAGATATCATTAGGGATACACATAATGCAGAATTTTTACTACAACTTCCAGAATAAGCCACACTAGGAAGAATGATCTGGATACCTACTTACAAAATTTTTTTTAAAATCTCTTAGGACTCACGGCTATTTGGTGGGATGACTCATAGTTAACCATTCATTTGGTTCCTGAAATGGTAAATAGCATGGAGATTGCCCATCTTGTTCCTACTATAGGACTACAGCGGACCATCTTCTAATATAATGTCGGAAGATACTTAAAATACACAGTGACCACAAAAATGGACTTAACACATCAACAGTCATGAAGGTGGCGCGAGGGCATGTAACATTTCCTTCTGTTACAAACAGTTTGTCAGCATCTAAGGAACTTTAGTGGCTTAGAGGGTAGGGAGTTGCACTATGAACCCAAAGGTGGATGGTTTGAATTCTCCATTCCTCAGGAGAAAGATGGGGGATTTCCTCTTATACAATTTATAACCTCTGAAAAGCCCACTAGGGAGTCAGCAAGGTGTGGGTTTCAACTCCACCAAAATGAATTTTACTTTTGTGCTCCTGTAAAGGTGCATTTCTAAGATTTTCTCCTTCTTCCTCCATGGCTTTTCATGACTCATATCAGAGCTAACCCAAGAACGCTAGGCGTACACCTAGGAGCTATGAATATACAGAAAGGGAGACTTTTAAAGAAATTTAATCAAATTCATACTTTCTGTGCTAAAGTAAGGAAGGCCAATTTCAAATCAGACTGCAAATGCTACCAATCCATGCTTATGGACATTAAGGACCCAGGCTCACTGTAGCAGTGTTAATGACAACCTGTCACCCATGACACCTAATTTCATGATGTGAACATCATTTGGCAACCAGTATATAGTGAGGTCATTTTTCTCACCAAACACAAAGACAGAAACACCAGCTACTTCACCACGTGGCTGAGGGTATTAAATTAATTAACAATAGTACAACATGCATACAAGGTGAACCCTATTGAGTGGGCACTGTGTCAGAGGTAAGCTTTGGCTTCTTCCAGAGCCTTTTCATCACTATCAGGATATCACCCTTTTTTCTTGTTAAAATAAATAATTTTATTGAAGTTTATGAGAATCAGTAAAATGCAGAAGAATACAATTAGACGAATTTCTTTTATTTTTCTATTTGTTTTCCCTCTTCCTTTCAAGTATGTACTCATGGAATTGTTTTATACTGAAAATATGTTTTATTCTACTGTTGCTTGGATCTCAATGAAAATTGACTTGAGATACATATTTTTTTCCAATTCCAGAAAAAGGTGAACCAGCAGAGTGTGGAAATTAGCAAGCAGCATTATTAATATCACACAGAAGCAAAATCCTGCTGAAGATTATCCAAAAATAACTGAAACAGTACATCTACAGAGAACTGTCAGATGTGCAGTCTGGGGTTAGAAGAGGTTGTGGCATGAGAGAAATTATTGCCAATATCAGATGGATCTTGACAGAAAGCAGAGAGTACCAGAGGAATGTCTATCTGTGTTTTATTGACTATACAAAGGCATTTGACTGTGTGGATCACAACAAATTGTAGATGAACTTGAGGAGAATGAGAATTCCAGAACACTTGATTTTGCTCATGCTTAACCTATACTCAAACCAGGAAGCAGTCCTCAGATCAGAGCAGGGAAACACTACATGGTTTAAAATCAGGAAAGGGATGCATTAGGGATGCGTCCTATCTCCATACCTTTTCAATCTTTATTCAGAACAGATAATTTGAGAGGCTGGGCTTTATGAGAAGGAATATGGCCTCAGGATTGGAGGAAGACTCATCAACAGCATGTTATGCAAATGACCCAATCTTGCTTGCTTAAAGTGAGGCAGACCTGAACTCCTTGCTGCAGGAGGTCAAGTACTGTAGTCTTCAATACAGATTGAAACGTAACATCAAGAAGACTAAGATTCTTACAACTGAACCAATTGAAAGCACCATGATAGATGGAGAAGAGATAGAGGTTGTTAACAATTACAGCTTGCTTGGATCCACAATTAACATTCTTGGCACCAGCAGTCAGGAAATCAAAAGAAGAATTGCACTGGGAAAATTTGCTGTCAGTGATCTCTCCAGAGTACTGAGTAGCAACAATGACTAAGGTGCACCTGATCTAGTCCATGATCTTCACAATTACTTGCTATGCATCAGAAAGCTGCACAATGACTAAAGACGACAGAAGAAGAATAGATGCCTTTGAGCTGTGGTGCTGGAGAAGAGTGTTGATCATACCAAAGACTACCAAGAAAACAAATATTTCTGTCTTAGAAAGGGTGAAATCAAGTTTCTCCTTGGGGCTAGGATTTTGAAGTTCCATCTAACATACTTTGGGCACATAGCTAGGATGGACTGGTTTTTGGAAAAGGGTATCATGGTCAGAAAGGTAGAAGGACACAGCAGGAGAGGAAAACCCTGGATGAGATGGATTGATACAGTGACTGGAGCAATGAAGGTAAAAGTGTCAGAGTCAGTGAGACTGGCTCAGGACAGGGTCACAGGAGACTTGATGGCACACAACAACAAAAACAACAACAACAATGCCATCACAAGACATTATAAATAAAAGGCCAACCAAATAAGTAAATGAAGTCTCTGCCTTGGGGAGTTTGCCACTAAGCATTGTTAATATTTTCCAGACATCAGAATGTTTTAATAACTAGTAACATTTTAAGTTGTTTTCTCAACATCTAATTCCTTTTTTCCATGGTAAGTCTTTCTGAATCTTTAACTTGCAATGTTCAGGAACTTTATAGACTTCGATGGAGTACAAAGCAAGGCCTGATAATCTACTTTTCATGCCCAGCCTTTGAAAACTTTATGGACCAGTTCTCAATTATGGTTCATTATGGACCATAATGAAGATGGTGCAGGACCAAGCGGGGTTTTGGTCCACTTACATATGAAATCACCGTGAGTTGGGGCTGACTTTGTGACAAATGACAAGATGTAGTATCTAAATAAAATATCTTTATTTCTAGAAAAATAAATTGAAAACAAGAAAATCATAAATATATTCTTACCAATACACTGAGGAAGCTGGGTCCATTGCCCATCAATGCAAGTAGTTACATTTTTTCCAATCATTGTATGTGTTTTCTTGCAACTCAACTCTATTGAATCTCCATGTTGATAGAGAGGTACAGAAGTCTGGACATAGCCGTTCTCCAGTTTAGGTATACTTCCACATGTTTTCACTTGTTCTGGGTGAATTGAATTTAAATATAAAGTTATCCTTAAAACAATAAAATCCATTAACATGTATATTTACATGTATGTGTAAAATAGATGTAACTTCTGTTTAAATATCTAATTACCAACACAAATGGGCAAAGTCGTCCATTCTCCATCCATGCACTGTATTTTTCTAGGCCCCTTCAACTGAAAATTATGATCACAATCATATTCCACTACTGCACTGTGTCCATATGCTTCTTTTCCTGTCTCTTTAAGTTTCCCATTGAGGAGTGGAGGAGGTGCACCACAAGCTTTTACTTGTTCTGCAGTAGAAAAACAGTTAAATTATGGTTTACGGTCTTATAGTTATGAATCTTGCAAAATGTGAAGTTGCTGTTTTGTTCTCCTTGGCATTAACGCTTTCTATGGTAAACTGCCAACCAAAAGGTCAGAAGTTCTAATCAATCCGCTTCTTCACAGGAGAATGATAGGCAGTCTATTCCAGTAAAGATTTATCGCCTTTGAAAATCTAATGGAAGTTCACTATGAGCTTCAATGGCAATGATGCTGAACCCTAATTTTTGATGTATGTTTTTTCTCACATATTAATTATTATAAATATCTTGAACAATCAATCAAAAAAAGCTTGCGTAGTGAATTCATATACAGAAAATTAGATATATGGATTATTAGCACTTTACCATATTTAGTTTGTTGTTATTTTTATGAAGTTATTTAATGTAAATTACAGACATCATGAAATTTCACTTCTATTCTCGAAAATGTATAGATTGTAACTAACCTGATACAAGGGATTAAATTGCTGATGTCAGATAGGCCTTGGCTGAAAGCAGATAATACAAGAAAGATGTTTTCTTGACTATGCAGTAGTGTGTGGATCATAACAGTTAATGGTTAACATTGAGAAAAATGGGAATCCCAGAACATCTTATTGTGCTTATGTGAAATCTATGCCTAGACCAAAAAATAGGTTTTGTAACACAGCAAGAAAATACTGTATGGTTTGCAATCAAGAAAAGGTGTGCATCACAATTCAATGGGTGGGTGGGGTGAAGGAAATGGGAAGGATCTTTCGTGAAAAACAATGTATTCAAGCTTTGTAAATAAATCAGAGTAATATTAAAAGAAGAAGTGTGCATCAGTGTTGCATCTGTATTCCATATCTATTCAATTTGTACATTGAGCAAACAGTGTGAAACTATGAAGAAGAATGTAGCATTAGGACTGAAGGAAGACTCATCAACAACCTGTATTATGCAGGTGATACATTTGGGCTTATTGAAAGTGAAGAGAACTTAGTTACTGTAGAAGATCAATCTAGATCTTAACATCAAGAAAACAAAAATTCTTACCACTGGAGCAATGTCTGTCATGATATCTAGAGAAAAGATTGAAGTTGTCTACAATTTCATTTTA